GATATTGAAGGGATTAGCACTTCCCTTCCACAGCTAAATAATAATGAAACATGCAACTAAATTATCAAATATCAACCTATAATCATATCAAGTTTCAGTATAAAAAAACACAGATTTTTATCAATCTTAAAGTCTTACTCCTAATCTAAACCATCAAGCTTGCAATAGCTATAAATTCGAATGCAAGGTCATATTCCTCATTTTTATGGCAATTCTGAGCACCAACCATTAGTGTTTAATGAATTATTTTGATTGAAAAACCATGCAGTCTGATACTATTGCATAGACAGCATACAGAATAGACAATATCTACACAAACCACTAATTCACATGATCAGGGTCAGATCCATGATGCAAGGTTAAGGGGGCGAAATTTTTTTCACTAGTGTAAGACGTTGCCTATTTTTTATTCAAAAAAATTCATTAGTGCATACACGACATTTAAATCTACTACCCTCTAAGTTTACACAATGAGAAAAATAGTTTTGATTTTATAATTGAAGTGCTCTAGAAAAAGTATCAGTACACTAAACCCAAATAAATGGCAAATCGAAGGGAAATTATTTGATAACAAAAAAGAAGGTTTAAAATTTATCAAATTATTTAAAGGTAAAGTGTCTAAAAGATACGCATTCATCAATACTTTTAAATAAGTTATGCCCCGTTTAATTGCAAAAATCTAATCATAATAGAGAATTGATTTTTGAAGTACACTTTTTGTCTACCAAGGGTGTTCGTAACTCGTAAGCCATGAGGAGTCTTTCATATTAGAATAGTATGATTATGTTGTTGATTCATCATCAACAACATAATTATATTTATACTTGTTGAAGTATAAATATGATTACAGAGAGCATTTTGAAGTACACTTGTTGATTCACCATCTATACTAATATGATTAGTATAGATGGTGCATATTATATTTGTATTAATCATCATCATCATTACCCCGGTGCCGCAAAGGCTCCCACCTACACTGGGGTAAGGGGGTCGGATGTACGCAACCTTACCCCTGTACTAGAGAGTACATAGAGGTTGTTTTTGAATGACCCATAGTGAAAATCGCGTCAAAATTACATAGACCGACTGCTATTTCATAACAAAGAAGCACAAACAGTTTAGTGAGTCATTTTGCTTTATTCCATCATATTCTCAAGCAAAAAAATAGTGAGTTTTTGGCTCCATTGCAAATGATGGAACCATATTATATTTGTATTAATGCTATAATAATTTAAAGTATATTACTTGTGCAATCATTTCTTTTCAAAAAGTCAGTACTAAATGAATTGTGTAATTTTAATGTCACACAAACATTTATATTATGGATTCAATTCACATTATCTCAAAACTGTTTATCTAGTGCGCCTTAAAGTTAATATTGATTGATATTTTACAAAATTGAGTACTAATTATGTAATAAAGATAAATTAAACATTACAAAATTCTGATTTTTATAGAATAAGTATCATAAGTAAGTCTTAAACCAATGAGTTGTTCTATTGTTTAAACTATTGTAGATTTTTGTCCTTTTACATCTCCTATTAAAGACGAAATATGGAGTGTTATATTATGTAAGGCTTTAAATTAATTTCAGTTAAGGGGATGAACATGTGTATATCTAATTAAAGTATGAGAACTTATGAAAATATTACACAGCATATGTTCCTGACCATGAACGGAGTGCACACAGTTACCTGCAAAGATCATCCAGTAGTTCTTGTGGAGGGAGACCATTCTTTGAAGGACCGCAGGAAGACCGATTGAACCCAGACATCTGTCCAGAACTAAAAATAAATAAAACCCTAATATTATAGTTTCAGTTAAGCGTGTGAGATGGAGGCGGGGATATGTCACTACACTCTTCGGCTCTTGAAGAAAGTAGAAAATTTTCTCAAAGTGGTATGAAACAGTTTTGTAATTGGCTAAAATTAGAAGATAAAATTCTCAAGTTCAGTTAAGTTTCCACGTCGAAGCTTTGAAGAGTATACATGTGCCTCGAGTGGAAAAGATTATATGAAGAATGATTACTCAAAGTACCAGTCGCGAGGCGGATCCGGATCCTTCCACGAAGCGATCGTCCTGGTTTCGGGTTATTCAAAACCTTGTTACTTGTTAGGTCCAGCTAATGCTATATTTGGACCTTCGGTTCTTAGAATCACTCATAATTTCTTTTGGAACAGAAATCGAAGTGTAAAAAATAAACCGAAACATACCTGAGCGGGTGATACGAAGTATTATTGTTGGGGAATTATTCTCGCCACCCGCACGGGCCGACGTCTTCCAGCGAACCGCTTCTTTTTCCTTCCTCTCCGGAAACTTCCAATGTCAATTCTCGAGCCATTGTCTTTCTTGTTATTTTCTGTGCAGGAACTAGTTTCCGGAACAGAGAAGAAGAGGGCGACAACCATCCCATAGCCTTTAGGTTAAGGGTGCGCATATCGATTTCCGTTCAGTTCCATTTTAAACAGGTTGCAAGAAAGGTTATCAAAGAAAAAACGTACTATGTTACAATTTGGATTAGTTTGGTTTGGATTTATTACGTAGTTTTTTTTTAAATGTATTAAAATTTTATTGAGTATTTTGTTCAGTTTGATTTTATTCGGTTTTTCACACTGTCGATTTGGTTTGGTTTACTTCGGTTTGAAAAAATACTATCAAACACAAATCGAATTATATGTTGCCCACCCCTACTTTTTTGTAATATTGTTGTTTGACTTGTTTCCTTTTCTTAATCCTAAAATCTATGAAGTAAACAAGTATACGACCTTGTTCTTTTTTAGTTGTAGCATGTGAAACTTGACATTGTTCACGTGTTGCACGTTGCCTAAATTTTGTTTATTAATGTATTATTAATTTAGTTTTTGAAATATATAGTTGGATTCCTCTTATTTTAATTTTTCAAAATTTGTTTTTTTACTGATAAGGAATGAAATATACAAGTGATCAAACTTGTGAAAATTGAGACGTTACAATTAAAAAAGAATCGAAAAAGTATTTTACTATGCCCTTCTGCCGTTCTTACTTCTCACTTGAATATTGATTTTCTAAGCTAGTTTGAAGATTCTAGGTCGTCCGATTTCAATTTTCATTTACTTAGTTTTCATGTGGGTAAGGTTATGAGCTTGGTTTGCCAAATTACCAAATTGGTAAAAAAAAAATAGGCAGTTACGATTTGTATACGCCTATAAAAGGCACGTTGTAATTCAGATTATGGGGAAGCGAATTATATATGCTATTCTCGACTATCAAACTCTAGCTATTTTCCATATTCATATTTCTTTATGCTTGAGTGTTCTTATGTAGCTTTCCTAAAAGCCTACGAGCATCCTATTTTGGACCAACACTTAGAATAATAAGTGTCGAAAATTCTAAAGTCGATGATCAAAAGTGTCTCACTCACAAAATTTGACCAATTTGTCACGGGGTCTCTATTTTTTTGCCAATGTGACTCAAATGTTTTTTTCTACCAATTTGGTAAAGTACCTGTTTTTTTACCAATTTGGTAATTTGGCCGAGCTTGGTGCATGGACGCGTGGTTAATTGGTTAGAGTGATTTTAAGGAATCACATATTTACATGTGACTCTCTTATGGAGTTACATGGGTCGTATTGTGTCATCATCTCAACTATTCATTTTATTAGTGGAAGTCTCCATTAAAAATATAAGAGATGGAAATGAATGCCACAAAATCTCATGTGACTCCGTAAGAGAGTCACATGTGATTCTTTAAAATTTTTGTAATTGGTTATATTATAGATTAATTCTAAGAAAACTTCGATTGTAATTGTGCTTGAGCTGTGATGCATATGTTTTTTCTTGTTATCGGCAATATTTGCTGTTGATCTAAGATGTCTATAAATAGCACGAGAGTTCTAGTTTTTTCTTCTCTTCGATCGGTAGTTTCTTTTTTTTTTGTTATGTTCGTTGAATTTGTAATTGATTCTTATTAGTTGTGTTGGTTTTTCGAAGAGGGTTATCTAGAATAAGAAGGTGCTTTAAATGGAAAAAATTGAGTTAAATCCTCGTTACACATTGAGGCAGGTGAACAAATGCCCCAATAAGCAAACATGATCCAAAAAACAAGTGCATCTTGGCATTGAGAGTGTTATCATCACTAACTTTTGAGAAATGCGCAAGCATGATCATCAACCTGATAATTATTATGATTAGTTCATCCTCGATCATATAATCCATAGGATAGAGTGAACTAATTGCTTGGTAAGGTGCATAGTCCAGATGGTGATGGTGTAAATGGTCAATATACCAACATGAGTGTGATAATGCTATTGGTCGTATGAGGAGGAGAATGAGTTTTGACTAATTAGCTTACGATGAAGAGGATAATAGTGTGGTGAGTACATACCTCCAAGAGAAAGGGTGACGGGAACTTGTGCTAAACTGTTTGAATTAGAGAAAATATTGCACAAATGTAGATTTCTTCGTTAACCGGTGTAAGGTGGGGTAATGATTTCCAATTAGAGTAGGAACATTTAAACTGGCAGTTGCTAAATTTGCCATTCTGCAAGGCAGAAAGTGTGGGGGTGTATACCCATTCATGTAATCTTCTGCAATATGTTGAAATGAAGATGACAAAGCTTAAATGGCAGAGAATAGAGAATAGAGATGCATTGGAGGCCTATAGGTGAAGTATTCTTAAGTATTCTGTCTAACATTTATGAAGACCAACACAAAGTTTGATGTGATTATGAATAACCTTGCTGAAAGGTTCGATGAAGGCCAGATTAAACATTCAGAAGACCATCACAAACATTCTTTGCATAATGTGATAATTAATGTGTCATGAAATTACAAAAACGTCCTTTCAGACCAACAGGTTTTGGCTAGATTCTACCCCAATTAACATTGCTTGTCTAACAATAGTATTAAAATGTTTTAGATTATATACTCTAATACTCAGTGAATTGACGCCAAGAAAACACAACCCCCAACCAAGGACAAAAAATGAGAACTTTTTAAGTCTGTGTCAAAATTGGTTGATTTTGAAACGTAAGGACCAAAATTAGAATTTTCTCTTGATTTTTTCTCTATCCATGTATTAGGAATTTCTCATATCATACATCGTCTCCTTTTCGCACTTGATAGAGGCAAGGAAAGTAGGTTGTAAATCATAATTTCAATCAATAGCGTGTAACACATGTCTGCAACAAGCACCCCAAAACCTCGGTTTTGGTCTCACACCGGTAAAAAAAAATGTCTGCAACAATCCAAACCCATATGTGCAACCTTATCACACATGGATAATATATTTAGAGTTAACCATTTTGCAGAGTAATTTGAAGGGCAACATCATTCTTTAACAAGAGCAAGAGAAACGTGGGCAAACAAATGATCACCAGTTGCTGATTTGTTGTGGACCAGGCATTGAGGTTCCAGCTAAGAAAGACTCCAGGAGCGTGAGGGCAAGTTTGGGTCTGTGTAGAGAAACTTCATGGCCTGCTCCTCTTACAGCGACGAATGTCAGCCCTTCATATTCTTGTGTCCATCCCCCAACCTATTTTTGCCATATATATTCATCACATCAGTGTTGATTCAGTGAGATATAAGACATGGCTATAAGGATTGAAGTGCACTTGTAGGATTTGTTCTCTGTCTTGAAAGTGTGGTTCAGATATGAGCTTTAAGATCTAACATGATCTGGTCTAAATATCTCTACTTTGGTTTGAATTATTAGATATAGCCTAATCTGGTCTGATATGAATGTTTGTCTAATCTTCTCATAGTAAGACTGCCACTGTAATTTACTACAGGAATGGTCTAAATTGGTTTGGAATATAAATTTGACCATCTTTCAAATCAATCCCGGCCAACCGTCCGTCCATCAGTCCAGTTACAGACGAAACGCAGCAAGTAAAAATGGAGTGATAATAATCTAATACCTGTCCGTTATCATACCAAGCACGCCAAGAGCCAACCGTGGGAAGTTTGAGAGCATCCAGACTATAACGTGTTGATGTGACAGGGATTACAGCATCTGTATCACCACTGTAATAAAAAGAAATGGACGATGAAAAAATCACCACCACATCATATGGGTGCATAATATGATTCAATTCTTAAACAGGATGCTCAGGCACATGTTGTTTGGCAAGACGTAATATTATATAGTCAAATGCATGAATAATGTAAAACCCTTGGCCTAGATACACTCTTCTCCCACAAAAGGTCATGGTTCAAGCAATGTTTTAGTCTGAAAAGTCAACTTTAACTTTTAAGAAAAGTTTTTGCAGCATTTTAGTCAATTATTTCAATCAATCTTGAAGATAAGCTTTAGGGGTGTAAGAGCTTTTAAGTTGATCGAGTTGATTCATTCACATTAATTTTATGCTAATTCAGAGCAAAAACAAACTTACAAAAGTTAAAGAAGATCTGGTATTCTCCTATGAACTTGTGTTAGTTGTACTTTGCCACTTGTAACTTTCTCATGCTCTTAAATTCATGTTTACACTTCACAAAGGTAACAGTCTAACCCCAGCACTGTTAGAAATGTCTCGAGATGCATCTAAGTAGGAAGAGATTAGGGGGGAAACCTGAATACCCAAATGCGAATTCCTGAACTTAAAAGTTCACGATAGATGTCCAACACAGTCCTAGGAGAATCCTTCCAGGAATCATATACCTCATCACTGCAAAAAGGGTGGTGCATAAACATTCAGAGATATTTTAAGTACAGACGAACTTCTATAAATGTTGTACCAGAACATGGCTATAGTAAATATCTCATCTCACCACGTCTCATGATATTTTCTGTGCATATGAAAATAACCTATGGTGATGACAGATCTAGAAATTTCATCTCATTTTTTCTTATCTTTGGTTAAGAGACAAAGACCATCCAACTCTACACTTTTTCCATATTTTTACTTTAGTAATTAATTTTATGCAATTACTGGGCTCAATAGAATTCAGTGCCGCCGACCAAATCCAAGTGGCATTAAGGCGTTCTTACTCAAAGTGATAAACTTCTAAAAACACTCATTAGATTTTATAATTTCATAAAACCACATGAATTTATTTCTAAAAATGAGATTAATGAGATCCCTCACCCTACATAAATATATTTCCACATGGGCTCCTTGAATTTCTTTGCGCTTATTTTTGGCATGGGCTTTTTCCCATAGTATGGAATATGGCAGCATTTAATGCATGTGGCATGGAGTGTGAACAATAAGACTATAAGAGCATTAGGATTACGGCCTGCCGGTATAATACCTGCAGGTAACCCATTTAAATGAGGAATCTTTAGTATGAACATGAAGAGCCTTCTGAACTTCAGGAAGATTGAAGTAGATAGTTGAGTGTTTCTCTGTGCAAGGATCATAGCTTCTTCTTAGGAGACCAAACTTCTGTCAAAAGAACATCACAGGTGGAATAAAAGAATCAGTTTTTGTCCAGCCAAATCCGCCTGGCGCCTAGTGTAATAGATAAGAGACTTGCTAACAATAGCCCTAAGGCCTATGCTAACTTCTTAAGCGTTAATGGTGATAGAACATTCTATGTAATTTTCAATAAATATTTAATGTTTATATGATTAATGTAAAATTTTGATGAATTATTTGTTGTTAGAATGTTAAACACGAATGACATTATTTGATGATTTTGTTTATTTAGGAAATTCATGAACAATATTCTTCTGCCACTAATGCTTAACTGTAGCCCTAAGGGCTGTTGCTAGCATGACTAAATAGATAAAGTGAAGGTGAAATTATTTATATCAAAGAAAAGAAAAAAATACTTCGTTTTTAATCATGTGTCCACAAAGATAGTATGTGATGACTTTTGAACCCAGTAAAAGCAGTTCCATAAAATCTAATATTGAAAAAATGAATTTACGAAAAAGCAGTTCCATAAAATCTAAAAAATGAATTTACGAAATTGAAAATCTAGTGGACAAAAGCAGTTCAATACTAGTATGTGATGACTTTTGAACCCAGTAAAAGCAGTTCCATAAAATCTAAAAAATGAATTTGCGAAATTGAAAATCATCAATTTTTACTTTTAAAGAGTTAAAATGAGTTGTGTCAAAAGCTAAGTTTAAGTGTTTCCATTTATAAGAGTACTTGTATGGAAATCATAGTTTTGCTAAATGTTCCTGTGATTTCCAAGGACTACATATTAAATGATAGAAAATTCATAATTTTTTTGTTTCGTTTTGAAAATACCTCAATATCAGTATGCCTCATCCTGAGAAATAAGACTTCTGACTAATTCTTTGGCAAGGAAATACACAAACTGAACAAAATGAGTAATCCCCATATTATGAGGTAAATTGAGTACAAAAGTTCATAGAACTACTAGTACTAAATAAGTAACTAAAGATAAGCAAGGTCAACTGCACTTACATCACTCTTTTTTAATGACCCGCTCGTTACATTTAAATTTGATGTACATGTTGGGGTAAATATGCTGTAGACATCAATATTTCCATATTCTTCGCTAGCAATATCTAGAATCTTTTCACATTCCTCTGAGGGGCGAACAAACGATTGGAAGTCACACAAAAGGTTTGCTTGCTTGAATGTTTGATCAGAAATCATACCAGAAGCCCACATAAATTGGAAAAGACCCAAGTGGTCATGATAGTCATCAGTCAAAGCATTTCCCACCTGTGCAATAAGCAAACACACTATTTAATATATAGCTGAAAAAGAAAACTACTGTAGCGTCATATTTTCTCATTTTCAGTTCCTTTTCTAATATTGTTTTTCTAGTTTTTTTGTTCCTCCCCATGGGAAAAGGAAGTAGCATACCATGAAACCTTTTAAGTTGATCACATTGTCCTTTACATTGGTATTGTGCTTGACAATGGCCTGACCTAGCTGAGGAACATAATGCCCTGAAACAAAAACAAAAAATGATCTTTAATTGTATGAGGAATTTTTTGGTTAGTGACCCACAACAAATCCGTACGATTGGCACAAAAAAAGAAAATGTCATACCAAGTAAAATGCACTAACTTCTAGTCTTTTTGTATAAAAACTTGTTGACTCATCATAAAAGTACAACCCGGTTTGCACAAGTAATGAAATCTCCGGTATTAGTTTGTACCTTTATATTTTATTGATGTGGAATTGATTAGTGTTGAAATCTGAGTGCTCTCATAGAGTCTTTCTAAAATCTAAAGTGCAATGCCAATATGCATCTTCATACTTTATTTAAATGTGATGGATGGCTTAACATATCTAAACAATAATATCCTCATTCAAATAATGAGGATACAAGTAAGAAATAACTCACCGGCGTAGCTCTCTCCTGTGAGATAAAACTCTCTTCCTTTATATTGTGGAAACCGTTCAAACCATTTCAGCAAGAACTCAAGGGAATCTGCAGCTGTAACACAAAATGTGGATGCTTTGCAGTTCATACACGAAATGTAAATAAGAATATGAAGATATATCCTAGAAAATTGTGAACTTAAAGTTCTACCTGTCCTTTTATCACCATTACTAAGATTATCAGACGAAGTATTTGAATACGAATAACCAACCCCAACAGGAGAATCAACAAACAACAGATTTGCAACTGCAGACAAAATAAATCAAACAGAAAAAGATCAGTTAAAACTTTCATTAGAAATCAAATAAAAATTAAATAGATAACTTGTTTCCCTTCATCAATATCAATCACACTTTCAACCACTCTGACCAATTCAGTCGTTTTACAAACATTACTATTGTCTTCTTATCTTTGACTTTTTTTAAAGCGTTTATGGAACATTTTTTGACACTTCATTCCATTCAGCCATTTTAAATCACTTCATCAAGTTTAAACAATTTAGCTATTTTTCAAAAATATTGCTCTTACCAGACGGGCTTAAAGCATGAAAAATGCATACCTAAGTTCCAAGAGTAAGGATTCCAATATAGAGTCTTCCCATCTTTCTCAACATGAAAAGGCCCAACTTCCTCGGCCAACCCAAAAGCAATGGATGAACATCCAGGCCCTGCAAAGGGTCGATAAAAAACCATTCACTTAAAGAGCATCTCCAGCAATGTGCGAGGTACATACTTGACATGCGACATACAGACACACAAAATAGAAAATTAAATTAATGAAATTTCTCTCTCTCTTTCTTAAGTTCTTTACATAGTCTTCTATATTTTAGTTTATTTTTAGTAAAAATGAAGCGCAATGTCTATGGCTAAACGTTTTCCGAGAAATAATTACAAAAAATGGACAAGACTATTCAAATAATGAGAAAGATATTATACTTGTATTAATTAGTTTTTTTTTGTCTATCTCTCCCGATCCACGAACCATTATACGAGTATTAGAGTTATTAGAGATGCTCCAAGTGAACCACTCTAAAAACTGAAGAATGATAAATAGAACAAACATAAAGTTCGTAACTTCTTTTAGTAGATAGTCAAAAAAGGCAAATTATGTTCAAGGAAATGAAACAACAAATATTTTTCGAGCAAACAAAAAGGTTGGCCTTGTAGTAAAGATGAGGAGAGAAAAGGGTGGACCTCCATTGAGCCAGAGAACAAGAGGTTTGGAAGAAGGATCCTCGACAGACTCAAAGAACCAGTAAAAGAGAGATCTGCCAGACTCCTGGTTCACAGTCACATACCCAGAATAATGAGCAAAGCTGACATTAAAGCCCAGACCTGGCAAGTCCGATACTGCATCCAGTTTCTGCTGCTGGACATTTGGATCCGCCGAGGAACAATCAATATTGTTGGCAACGAGAAGAAACACAAAAAGAAAACAACCCCCAGTCAGCACAGACATTTCCAGTTGTTGTTTTTCTGCGACGGGAGTGAGGGGAATCTTGTGTTGTTAGTGGGATCACTTATCTTACGCATTTCTAGAGGATCGAATATCATGCCCACTATTCATATGTAATTGTGCACGCTTTCCAAAAATGTTGGGTCTAGCGGTCTAGTTATCGGGATTATCTAGTGGGAATTTTATTCATGTCCGGAATTCCGGACAGGAACCGCCGTCCGGACGGTGGCGTTTGGCCGCCTTCCCGGTGACATTTTTTGATGAAATTTTTATGACATGTTCTCCATCAAGTCTAGTTTATCCACAAAAAAATTCAGCCAAAAACTCAATCGGGAAGGTTGTCAAATGATTTTTTCAAGTTAACTCGTCCGGAATATGTATTTTCCGGACCAGTTAACTTGCAAAAATCATTTGACGACCTTCCCGAATGATTTTTTGGCTGATTTTTTTTGTGGATAAACTAGACTTGATGAAGAACATGTCATAAAAATTTCATCAAAAAATTCCACCCGGAAGGCGGCCAAACGCCGCCGTCCGGACGGCGGTTCCGGTCAGGAATTCCTGACCGGAAGAGTGCTCTATCTAGTGGTATCTCCCTCCCATTTCAAGTGTTTTACTTTCACTTGACACGATTATTAATAAAGTGGTTGAAAAAGTAAAAGTTATGAATGATGTTAGTATAATAAAGTGAAATGTGTATGTCACATATTTCTTTCCAAAAAGGGAAAGAAGACACTTATTTTGGGACAACCTAAAAAGGAAAGTAGGACAGGTAAAATGGGACAGAGGGGATATTTTTTTTTTTTTTTTGACGGGTGAAAAATTAATTAATATTAATCAAATCATTGTCCAATACAGAAGAAAGAAATAACGGAGGATCATGAAACCAAAACTGATGATCAGACAAAGAACAGGCCCTCTGTGCCAAAACATGAGCTGCCCTATTCGCTGACCTCCTAACGTAAGAAAAAGAGATGCCGGAAAAGTTCTTAGCAAGATCTCGAATATCATCCGCAACCAACCCAAATGAAGAATTACTCGAGCCCTTCGAAATTTCCATAATAGCCCGAGAAGAATCAGACTCCACTTCAACGTCCCTCCATTCCGAATCAAGCAGCCAACTCAAGGCCTCCCGTATCCCAATTAACTCAGCCTCTAGCACGGATATTGCTCCCTGCCTTGGATAAGCGCCTGCAGCCACAAATTGCCCTGTTTCGTCCCTAGAGCACCAACCCAGGCCACAAGACCCTTCACGGACAGCGGCATCAACGTTGACCTTCAATCTTCCCTCAGAGGGGATATTTTTTATTAGGTGGTCAACGAATCAAACTTTTATTGAAGTATTCGAGTCGAGCTTAATGAGTTTTCGAATTCGAGCTGAATTTTAAGTTCGAACAATTAATCGAGCTGAGCTCGAACATAATAATATCCGGCTTTGTTGGAATTCGAACCTATCAATCACGATCGGAACCGAAACTCTGTCTATCAAATAATTGGCATTATTAAAAGTTATTTCTAAAGTTTGTATTATTCTAAAAGTAACCATATGTTTCGGAAATTCCAAGTTTGGAAAACTCTCTCTCTAAGGTTGCCGCAAGGCGATCTTTAGCCTCGGTGTGTCCGCTGTCGGCTTAGCCGAGGAGCGGGGTTTGGTTTCAGTCGGCCAATTTGTTATTATTGATCAGTCTGGAGGGTGGACGAAGGTGGTTGGTCAGGAGGTTACTGACATCATCGCGGGGTGAGATCCGTCGAGGAAGATTTGAGCAGCGGCGTTCGGATTGGTCTATGCAGCAACGGTTCCGGAGTTTTTAGTCGACTTGGTAAGGCATAGAGATTTATGGAGAATATTGTTGATCAATACAAAAAGATGGCAATTGGTGCGCAAGAAGAAGAACTGGCGAGCAATGGGAAGGTGACCGTTCCGGTGATTGGCATGATATGTTCTCAGATAAATTTTCTGGAGGTTGAAATTCTCTTTTACCATACTACAACAGCTCGTCCTCCTCTGGGACCACCTCCCTGCGAGGAAGTAATTTGGGGAAAGTTTATATTTTTGTATTGTTTTTCCTTTCGCAGTACTTATTTTTATTTCAGTTTGAACGGGTATGGTCGGAATATTTTTACTTTTTGATGAACTCTTGATAGGCAATGTTTCTTTTTTGGTCGTTTTAGGCTTCCTCTTGCCCGTTTTGTGTCTAGCGAGTCAGGTTGCTTTGTATGGGTGGCTGACTCTAAGTCTATTCGATCATAGGGCGATCGGATCTGTAATATCTGTCTGGATTTGGTGTTGCGTGTTTGTTCTATTTTAATGGAAAATTGTTTTGATGATAAAAAAAAAGCTCGTATTATTCTTGGTTCATGAAAGATAGTTGGTATTATTTAAAATTATTTTCCCTATAATATATATATATATGTGTGTGTGTGTGTGTGTAACATTTAAATTTAATTAATATAATTTTATGAATTTAAATATGATTAACCAAGCATTCCAGCCCAGCTGGTTGTGAGGTTATCGTGTCTAGTGAGAGGTCTCGAGTTCGAAACCCGCGCTAGGCACGTAAGGGCTCGAAACTCAATGGAGTGAGTTTCAGCCCTGATTACTCTAGGCCCTCCTCCCCCAGACCCACCGAAGTAAAAAAACAAATAAAAAATAAAAAATGAATTTAAATATGATTACTAACAAACCGAATATTTGTCGAATAATTCGAACAGGAGCTTATTAACGAGTATTACCTAAAATTTTCCTTATAATATGCTCAATGAGCATATTTATCGAGCTTATTGAGCACTCAGTTCGAACATCGAACACTTATCGAGACGAACATGAGCCCCAATTGTAAATCTTGCCGATCTTTGAGCTCGAACCCGAACACTACTATTACTGAATCGAGCCGAACTGGGGCTTTAGGTGTTTGGGCTTGGTTCGTTAGCAACCATGTTTTTATGAGTTTTTCTTTGATGATGTCACCAAGTACAACGTCTAGATATAGACATTATGATTGACATTGTTAAGAAACAAATATAAAAAAAAAACATTTAAGCACGTGAAGAGAGATAGATAGAGAGAGAGAGATTTCATCAATTTATTTTGTATGCCTATATATTCAATTTATTTTGTATGCCTATATATTTCAAGTCACACATGCACAGTGAACATTGTTGCATTTATTTGGAAATACTCTTGTCTCATGGTGTGAATGCGTCTCTACGGTGGGTTGTGAGTACATTAATTTGTCTATTAGGTACTTGAATTTGTGACGGCAGAGTAAGGGGTATATACTCCGTATTAAGAATAAGGGGTTATATTTACGTAAGAATTCAAACAAGTATTTCAATTTGTTTCCGCACTGGAGCGCGCGCTATAATACATTCGTCAAATATAAAGAGAATTTCGAGATAATGATTAAGGGCCTGTTTGGTAACACTGAAATTGGTTGAATCCGTTGATTCTGTTAAAATCTTTGAAGTTCTGGCTGAAGTCGTTGGATTGGTTGATTCTACTTATTTATGAAAAAATATTAAAATGCATTTTATTAATAAATTAAAGAAAAAATTACATTAATGAATAGTTAAAATGGTCCTCTAGATTAACATTAGCCAATACAAGCAGAAAAGTAATTTCAATCTTACTTTTTCTTATAATTACACAATTTGGCGAGTGAAATCAAAGTTACGTGTTTGGTGAAAAAGGTTGACTCATAAGCCTGATAAGCCGAAAAACAAGTCGGGTCACCAAACGGGCTCTAAACAATCTGATAGCTCTTA